TGTGTGTGTGTGTGTGTGTGTGTGTGTGTGTGTGTGTGTGTGTAGGAACATGTACACCTGTAAGTCTCGCTCTGTAGCCTCTCACCTCTGCTGTTCTAGGAGACGTGGACTCTTCCCTTGTTCTGTCTCGGCCTCCTGTTGTTTCCTGCACTAATGTAAAGTCTTTGTCTTCCACTCCCTCTGTCTCCAGGCGTTCATTTCTCACTAACAGATGTTCTCTGAGCCTTGTGGGAGGACATTCCTCCTCTCTGTTATGAAAGCACAAAAAAAAAAGAAAACTCAAACAAGAACAAAAGCTACAGAAGTCCTTATCTCACCAGTCTGTGAGTCAACGGTTTGTGTCCTCTGTTGTTAAGATCAGAACGTTTTTTTTAGCATGCTTCTCGGCATTACTGTTACGCAATATTTGAAAGGTCAAGAAAGTGCATGCCGAAAAAGAAGTGCACCCAAGATGACTGGAAACCCTAAAGAAAGCAAGAAACCTCACAACTCAGGCTTCCTAAAAAGAGAAAAATAAATCTGACGTGCAAAAAAGAGCACCATCAGAGTCCTGCAGGTCAAGAGTGAGCAAACACTTCATCTTGTTTCACTCCCTCCCCACAGGCCAGGAGTAAATCCTGGCCGCTCTGCTCCRTGCAGCCTAATGGCACAGAGTGGGAGAATTTTACATTTCCTGCGAAAAAACTGTAGTAAAATGGGGACAGAGTGGAAGCAGAGTGGGTTAAATGTGYCTGTGCGTGCGAGGCCATGTACTGACATGGTTGTTGAGCGCTGGATGCTGCAGTTAGGTGACCCACTTACACAGTGCTCCCCCTCTGTTCACGCACACAAACACACACACACACACAAACAAAGACTCTTATGCATGCCTCTGCACATTCGCAGCACTTCACCCGCTGGAGACTGGAGGATGTTTTGGCACCGTTTCAGAGAATAATGTGCTCCAAGAGAGGTGGAAGATAAAGATGAAGGTGGTTTGTTGTGCAGCAGGGACAGAGCAGCTAAACAGAGGAAAGCGCACAGTAAAAAGGAATTAAAAAATACACACCAGGAGGCACTGCAGATCAAACTAAACATATAAAAATTAATGCGTGGTGTTTTATAAAAAAATGTGTGCCTCTGAGCGTATTTCCCTCTCTGCTAATCTACTGCAGCTGTTGACTCCGCCATGACATTCAACACAAAGGTCAACTCTTTGGTGGGATGCACAAGATAACAGGCCAGACAGTCACTGTCCTCCACAAGAAGCAGGAAAAAAACAGTAGATAAAACAAACGGTAACACTATCTACGTTCAGACGGTGTTAAACCACTAGACTCATTGAATAAACTGGTTTTCTTAAAACTGGGGATGCAGTTATCTGTAGATAACTCATTCACAACTTTACAAGGAAAACATGGAACTATGTAACCAATGTTGTGAAACAGCACCATCTAGTGGAACACAGGAGAACTACATGTTTGTCTATTTGCTTTTAAATAATTTAGTCCTTTATATTTATCTAATTCATTCAAATATCTCAAAACTATATTATTTAGAAAAAAAAACAATATGAACAATGAATATTGTGTAATTTATTTCCACAGAAGATAATGACAAACTGTATGTTAGTTTTAAGCAAATAAAATATGAATATCATTAAAACTGGTCACACCATATAGTTTATATTTAAAAAACAGATTACCTAAATTAAAATGTTCTCTTTGCTGCTTTTCTAGACAGACCTTTCCTCCTTTAAAAGTCTAGTTAGCCTTTTGCAACTTTTAGCTATTTTTTTTGCTACCAATTCGCTTCTTTTAGCTCTTTTTAGCTAGCATTTAGTCAGTTTTACCATATTGGTCGTTTTGTTTATTTTGGCAATTAGCTAATTAGCTGGTTAGTCAATTTKACCTTATAGCTACCATTTTGCTACCTTTACTTAGCCTTTTGCTACTTTTATTTGAGCTTTAATTCAACTTTCAAGTCAGAATATTTACGGAACATGTCGAGTACTTAGAACTGACCTGTGATCACACAACTTCGAGTCATCCTGCTCCCCGTGGAGGTTCGGATCTGATCTCAGATCAGATTTTTTTTTTTCAGGAATGTTTCCCGCCGCTGATCACGTGACTTCATCCGGCCTGCCAGCAGCCTGCGGCCCATGTGGAGAAGCAAGATGGCGGCTCGGTTCAGTGGGGAAGACGGTCATTTAAACACCGGCAAAAACGACTTTCTCCTCCACAACACCTCCAACGAGGTACCGGTTTACACACGTCAGCTTATCTGTTTTAAGGTTATCCAAACGGGGATGATTTTCGCCGATGCAGTCGGCCGCATTTCGCCGGTCCGCGAGGCCACATGTGCGGACAGCGACACGTGGCTCAAGCCGAGGCGTAGTAAAAACTGATCAGGAAGATGGCTGAGCTGATCGATCAGCCTCACGTTTGAGCCGAACAGGCACGAGGCCGTTTGATGTCCGCGTTATTGTTGGAGTTTGTCATTACCTTTTGAATTAAATCATTAAGATGTTTAAATTGATATTAAGGAAACGGGTTTTGTTTCCTTCAGAACAGGATGTTCTGGTTAGACAGCACTCGTTAAGTGTTTGAACTTCTATTTCAAAGAAGCACATTAATCATTTTGTTTCTATAAAATGTCTAAATGCACTTTTACCTGAAAATACTTTAAATCCCCCTAGATAAGATTAAAGAATGAGTCCTGTTTGTACTCAAATTAAAACCTTGATTAAACCCTTAATTACTCACTGCCCCTCTTCTTCACAGATTTCTGTAGTCTCAGTAAAAGTTTGTTTTATGAAATAAAGTACACCAGAACCACGCTTCAGTGTTTCAGGATGACTGTTAAAAACTTAAACACGCCCTCAAAACACCAAAAACTTTGTCATGAAAGTCACTGGACCATGCATCCTGTCAAGGAACACTGGGTCTAGATTTAATACCATTAAAGCTTCTTTTAATTCTTATTTACCAGCAAAGAATCAATAATGAGATGGTGCACTTCAAGCTCTTTAATTAATTTAGACGTGTTTAATATTTGTGTATTTGCAGTTGGTCCTGAACAGAAGCCATGTCGAAGGAGTCAACTTGGACACACAAAGTGTCGATCACTCCATCTTGGCCCTTTTTGAAGACTCTACTGCTKCATCAGAGGTTATTAAATGATATAGTTCTTATGTGATGATCGGCCCTTCTTTTGMGTTCAAAATAAACATTTATTGATGTACACTTAAAAGATAAAATCTTAATTTTGCTTTTCTGTCTCTAGAGTAAGATCATGATGGAAGAGGAGAGCGAGACCTTGCTGTCTGCGCTGACGGAGATGCTGGACAGGGTGGAGGAAGATGAAGATCAAGCTTTTTCCCCCTTCGACGTCCTGCCAGACTCGGAGTTCCTRCGACGAGCGGCGCACAGGGACGACAGCGTAAGTTCTGCTGTCATCTTTAACTGATCAGACGTCACTTTCTTACAGTTTATAGAAAAATCTTTTTGCCTTTTTTTTTTTTTAGAAACTTTCATCGACGCAGAGGCTTCAGTCAAAAACCAAACCACTTGATAAAGCTCTAATAATGAAGACTAATGGAGAAAACTGCCAGGAGTGTAAACTAGAAAACAAAAGTCTTCAAAATCAAATTTTRTTTTGCAAAAAGAATGATAAATCAGAGGCTAAAGTTGACGTTTTCAGCTCGACGTCCATCGTCAGCCTGGTGAACCTCATGCATACGTACTGCCTGAAGCTGCACGTGGAGAAGGAGGACGAATCGAGGAGAAACCGGTCGCTTTTTTCTCAGGAGGAGGTGTGGAGGTACGAACGGCCCACCGAGCAGGAGAGCGGCGAAGAAGTAAACGTCGTATCTGACGAGGAGGCGCCYGCGAAGGAGGCGAGGCGGGAGGACCGGCTGAGCGGAGGTGAAGGTCGACGCCTGAAGAGCGCGCTGCTGAACGGAAACTCGTGCAGAGCTCCGTCGACCAGAGAGAGGAAGAGGGTGAGCTTCGGTCCCGTTCGTGTGGCTTCGTTCGATGAATCGGAGGAAAACCGAACTGTTGGACACGAAGCGGGAACGCTCACACGCGACAGAGACGACAACGCCGACGCTGGGCAGCAGAGGGGTAAAAAAGCGAAGGCGCTCAGCCTGCAGGAGTACCGCCAACTTCGTCAGAACAAGCGCCCCCTGGTGGAGAAGCAGGGGGATTACACCACCAAGTGGCCCTCCGTTCCTGAGACACCCAAAGAGCTGACTCCGATCTTCTGCTTTCAGGGGCAGAAACAAAACCCCTGCAGACCAAAGTCGACTCCCCATCATCCAGAGAGTTCCCCCCATCGTGCCCCTTCACTGCAAGCTCCTAATCCCGCCGAGTCCAAACCTCATCGCAGCAGATTAAAGGGCTCACGCGCCGAACCCAGAACCATCTCACCTGCCAGCCCGCTCCCAGATAACACACCTGACCCCAACGCCGTCCTGCTAGAAAGCAAGAGAAGTCCGGTGAAGAAGCAAACACTACTTAATGTTGATCCTCCAAACCCCGTCCTCCTCCCCCTGCCTTCAGCTTCTGCTGCCAGCTCCTCGTCACAGTCCACGTGTTCGCAAGGAACCCAAAACAAACCCTCAGCTGCACCGTCTCAGGCCATCACCTCAAGCTCCAAGTCACCCGTGCCACCCGCAAACCAAGAGTTTATCGTAAATAACATTACACCATCTCAGGAGGGGGAGTCCAGCCCCACCAAGCTGCCTCCAGCACAAACCGGCTCAGCTGCAGCGTCTCAACCATCTCTGACGAGCCGTCTGAGTCAAACGAAGTGTCCCACACCTGTCCTCAGCCCGTCTCCACGTCTCACAGACGTTAGCCAGAGTCCACCTGAAGAACCATCTCCTCCACCTCCAGACGTTAGCCAGAGTCCACCTGAAGAACCGTCTCCTCCACCTCCAGACGTTAGCCAGAGTCCACCTGAAGAACCGTCTCCTCCACCTCCAGACGTTAGCCAGAGTCCACCTGAAGAACCGTCGCCTCCACCTCCAGACGTTAGCCAGAGTCCACCTGAAGAACCGTCGCCTCCTCACACTGACCTCAGACAGCCGAGTGCTGCGGTCCAGTCAGGTAAAATGTAGAAATGTGAGAAGAAATTTTCTGATTTAGAAATACTCAGTGTTGTATAAAGTACCTGAAAGTGATACTTGAGTAAAAGTACAAGTATGTTATCATAAAATTAGTTTGGTAAAAGTTCAAGTCTCCTCTAAGAATGTTACTTGAGTAAGTCTTAAAGTATCTGGTTTATTTTGTACTTAAGTATCTAAAGTAAATTTCTGACATAAAATGTACTGAAGTAATAAAAACAAAAGTTCTGAGTAAAAATGAAGGGTTAGATTTTCCAAAATACATTTATTGGGAGGTGACTTCTTCACAAAATATTTTTTCCAGGTGTGAAGCTTTGATTAATTGTGTACAAACTAAATACAGTATCAGAATGGTATATATTTATACTTCTCATCCAACCACAATTAAATTCACTCCATCCAAGAGACAGTTGTTCAGGATAGTGTTTTTTTTTACAGTAACAAGCTGAAATGAAATAGGAGAAAAGTCGTCCTACTTTTTACCTTTTTAAAAACTATAGAAGAAAGTACAGATACTTGTGTAAAAATTTAACGAGTAGAAGTAAAAAGTAAGCTGAAAAATAATTAAGTAAAGTACAGATACCCAAAATTTCTACCTAAGTACAGTAACAAAGTATTTGTACTTAGTTATATTTCAACTCTGGAAATAATTAAACACTTAGGAGAAAAGCTGCTAGAAAACAAGTTTACACAGCAAAAAATGACCATCTTAAAATAAATTAAAATACCAGATTATAGTCTGAATCTTTTCAAATTAATTGAAATATTCTACCAGAGCAGTTAGACTTATTGAATTAAGAAAACTTTTCAGACTGACATGTCTTAGTATATCAGTCTCAAAACAAGATGAAAAATACTTTTTGACTAGATATGATTGTGAGACTGGGTAAGATGGAGAGTTTTTGCAGTGCAGAGACTTAATAAGTTAACAACAGAACAATTATTAAATCTGATCTTAACGCAAATTAAGACTTGTTTGGTCTGACCCTGATCAACTCTGAAATTGTAAAACTAAAAAAACTGCTCTTTAAAAATATATTAAAGCTGTTTAAGTTTATTGTGATGATAATAAGAGCGATATTCTCATTGAGTTCTTTTTGTTTTGTCAGGAATTGAAGCGTCCGATCTGACCAGCCTGCTGGAACAGTTTGAGGAGACACAAGGTGAGAGGATAAAAACAATGATGCATCTTTTAATGCTAGTTTTGAATTGTAATTAGAGGCAAAATTTATTTTTTACAAATAAAAAAATATGTTTTGAATTATAAAAGAAGCTGTGAAACAGATGAAGCTGTAGGACTTTTCACTCTGGTCTGAGTTCTGTTTAATCTTTTAGCTTTAAAGGATCCAGTCTGTGAAACTGAACCCAAACTCGTCTCTGCTTCTTCACCCTCAAACCCACAAACAGACACGAACAGAACYGAACCTGCAGGATCACAGAGGACCTCCAGGTTGCAGCTCAAACCTCTCGAGGAACCACTTGAACCTCGGAGAACTTCCGGGGGTCTGTTGGACCTGCAGACGTCGGAGCCTGCAGACGTCCCCGAGCCCCTCGGCACTGAAGTGGTTCTGAGCTCTGAGCGGGAGCTGCTCTCCAGACGACAAAGACCTGTGTGTAAGTCCGTTCAGATCATCGACCCGCGCCCGCTCCCGGCCAAGAAGACTCAGCCGGGCCCGGCAGAGTCCTCTCCCGCTCACTTGTTTTCACATTTACCCTTGGATCACGATTACTGCGGCTCTGTGGATTCTCCTCCCTTTCAATGCAACARCRCAAAGCYCCCCCYTCTCAGAGARATGTCAAAACCCCCAACAGAACCGYATGAGGTGACCCGGGTCTCCAAACCTCCAGAGGAGAGTAAAAAACACAACTCAGACCAAACAACTGCATTTCAGCATCACCCAGAACAACCCTGGACCCGTTCAGAAGCTCTGCCCTTCTCAGAAACATCAACCATGGGGGACTTTAGTCCCAACAAAACCCAGAGCCCCCCTTCCATCCTTCCTACACCCCCRCCCAGCCCTCCTGTAAGAGGGAGGGACAAGAGGAGATATCGAGGACGATCTCCACTCTCTGACTCCAGCTCCAGGTCATCATCTTCCTCCTCGAGCTGTTCATCTTGCTCTCCGAAAAGACCGAGGTACCCTCCTCCTGCTCAGTTTGAGTTATAAACATGTTTCCTGTGTTTGTTACAAAATACCTCAGAAACCACACGGCTAATATTATTGAAGCTGTCAGAAAGTCAGAATTAGATGTGCATCTACACCTAGAAGCAGATTCAAGATRGCTGCCTCAACTGATCACCATTAACCAGCACATAAATAGATAAAACTCTTATTAAAAAGAAAAAATAAGTAGGTCCTCTGGATGTGTTCTTTTTTAGTAAAAAAAGAACACATCCAGAGGACCTACTTATTTTTTCTTTTTGATTTTTTTCTACCTGGATTACTGAGATGCATCAGGACAAAACTAATTAATTTTGTAGAAAAAGAGGTAAAAACTGATTGTTTGGGTCTAAATTTAACCCTMGCTGTGTTTGTCTGACAGGATCCGTCGCAGGCGATCAGGGAGCAGTTCGTCTTCGTCGTCCTGCGCGTCCCGCTCCCCTCCTCGGTGCTACGGGTTGTCTTATCCCAGATTCAGCAGGTCAAGAGCCAGGTCCTGGTCCCGGTCTAGATCCCCCTCGCTGTCCCGGTCGCCTTCTCCGCAGATGCGCCGCAGGCCGTGGAGAGAAGTCCGCAGGTCGGTCAGGCTCATCGAGGAGCTTTTAAACAGTGATTTCAGCCYCGTTCTGTAAAACCTGAACTTRTGCTTCTGGTTGCTCCTGCAGCAGCAGGGAGTCCAAGAGGCTCAGGAGGGAGCAGGAGACGAGGAGTCAGAAGCTTAAAGCCATAGTGAGTAAACTGCACAGGTGTCGGGATGTGCGGGTGTCCTCTCTGCTGGCTGTAAAGACATTTATTGTGTGCACCCAGGATGAGCGCAGGGTGGTCTACGTTGGCCGCATCCGTAGAAGCATGACCCAGGACGAGCTGAGTGAACGCTTCTCTCAGTTTGGAGAGGTGGAGTGTGTGTCGCTTCACTTCAGAGAGCGAGGGTGGGTGTGCACACTCACTGTCAGCTCTTCAAATATTCTTCTACATAAACAGGATTAAATCTGACGTCTTTGCTCCTCACAGGGACCACTACGGTTTTGTGACGTTCTACAACATGGAAGACGCTTTCGCAGCCATCGATAACGGCGGCAAACTGCGGCAGCCCGACGAGCTACCGTTTGACATCTGCTTCGGTGGACGGAGACAGTTCTGTAACACGGACTACGCCGATCTGGGTGAGGCATGTTTCCAGACAGCTTCCTGGAAACCACGGCGTCGTGGAAAATGTTAGGCTGTGTTCATACGGCAGGCAAAAATGACAAATATTAGATTTTTTTCATGCAAAGTCGTATTGTGTGCAATTATTCGTCAGAAAAACTGCCAAATTAATATTTGGCACTTTGCATTTACTGCAGTTAGTGCTGTGTGACGTATTATTGTGTGCGACGCACTCTCACTATAAACCCAAACCTTCACTCTGAACATGTTTCATCACTTGAAACACGGACATAAACTGGAATAATTTACACTAGATGTGGTTCCGCTCCACAGCAAATACACAACCATTATAATCAATGAGAGTATTTACACTGGCTTAGATTTGATCCTGTTTTTGCCAGAGCTGCTCCGGAGTCAATCTACAAAGATCACGTCACACCAACTGGAAAAGGATTGAGCACAACATCTGTATTTTCAAAATAATTCACAAAAGGCAGACTTATTTGTTGAAATCCCAGCTATATTAATAAATATATGGATAATTTTATACACAAATGAGGTCAAAAAGTATCGTTCTGTTTGGGAAGCAGATGGAATGCAGCAGGCAGAATATGCAGACACACAATACATGTGGATTTTATTTTGAAATCAGAAGTTTCAAAAGGACGACAGTGATACAGTGTCAGCTGTGTTTGAAGTCCGTCTTCCACAGAAAGAGTTATTTTGCTCTGACGTTCACATTTATCTCTGGATTTATCGCGCGATCGCATGAGCAATTGTCATAATTTGTTATTTTATTTTTATTGGCTAAATTTTACAGTTAATCGTGCTAAATTTTGTTTGCCACTATCATCCAGCCGTAGTCTGAACGTGACGAATCTGATTTCAAATCAGTTTCTGCAACTTCTGAACTTCTTTAAAAGATGCAGGATGAGTTTAGTTTGTTGAACAGTTAAGTAAAGTTATTTTGAGTGTTTGCTTCTGATCATTAAATGTTCCTTCTTTCCACAGACGCGAACAGAGAYGCAGAGCCGACCTCGCCCAAAAGCCGGTTTGAAGACCTGGACTTTGATTCTCTGCTGAAACAGGCTCAGAGAGGACTGAAGAGGTAACAGAACCGAGCAGGGTCGCACACAGGACAGTTTTCATCCATCTCAGGGCAGCGTGCTCACCCTTTATGTAGAAAAGTTTACTATTTTCTTTGTTTTTTAATGGATTATTAAACTGCATGCATGTTTTTGTTAACTTTGTATGAGCAGATATGTAGCACTTGTATCATTATGAGCTTGCAGTTTTTCTGAGTTGTAAAGTTAAAACATTATGTAGCACTCTTGAATTGAACATATTTTTGTTATTAATCGCTACATTCCAGAGCACTGATAAAGTTTTGTTTACACCAGTATAAAGTGTTTGTTCATTTTTATTTATCACATGTAGTCTATTCCTGCAGAAGGAGTATTTCAAACATTTCAGTTCTCTGAAAGTTTGTTTTACTAATTTTATATTAAATAAAATTAGTTGGCCTCCCTTTGGCTGGACAGTCTTGTCCCAAGCTTTTGTTTGGTTTGCAGTTTTAGTATCCTGTAGAGATTTAAAATTAGACTTTAAAAAATATAAAAACAAACATTTCTGAACAATTTTAAGTAAAAAAATATGAATGCTTATTCTATATAAAACTAAGAGCTAATTTCACTAAATACAAACTAAGTTGAATGTAAAATGTTGAGGTGCAGTGTCATTATTATGGAAAAATGTATACAGATGACAACCTTCAATACATTAAGTAGTGACTATTCTGTTCTCTAGTAAAACGATTAAAAAGCTAAATTAGATTGTATATCAGAAGTCAAGTTTTTAATTCTACAGTTTTRCATTTTTCCTGCATCGTCAGCACTTTCTTATGGTGCATAAATTGTCAAACATGACCAGGTTTTTCAGCAGCTTGTACATCTTAATTTAAGTCAATTTTATTAAAGTAGACATATCCTGCTTTTAAATCCTTCCTTTTCACATTTAAACCACTCAGTTGGGGTCTTTATAAAGTGGAACTACAATGCTTTGGTTTGAATTCCTCGTTATTGTAATTTCAGCAGCCCCTCTTTCAGCCCTTTTCTGATGTGTCTCAAAGCAGCTGGTTTTGTTGTTGTTCCCTATGACGCTTCAAGCCCCGCCCCCCTCCGGCTTCCAGACCGGTCCACTCAGGTTGAGTGAGGGGGTTGCCTTTTTTTTTTTAGCTGTGCAGAAATGTTTTATTTACAATTCAACTGAAAGATCAAAAACAGAAGACTTGTTCCTCTAGCCTTACATGTTGGAGCCAGAGTCTGACCCAGAACCAGAGTCTGACCCAGAACCAGAGTCTGACCTAGAACCAGAGTCTGACCCAGAGCCAGAGTCTGACCCAGAACCAGAGTCTGACCCAGAACCAAGATGAGAGTTAAGAGGAGGAAGTTGTAGTTGGTAAGTCCAAACCTTATATGGTAATTCACTGGCAGATTATTTGACATAATAGTTCAGAAAATGTCATTGAAAATCGAGAAAACTGAATGGGCTGAAAAATATGAACCAAACCAAAATAAAGATATCTTTGCAGCACCAGGAGAGATTAAATTAAACTTTTCTGCACTCACAACTTTTTTGCATGATATGTAAATACAAAACCAAACTGTGACTTTACCTTTTCTAACTTGAAGCTAATATTAGTTTAAATCTCTGACACAACGGGCAAGTAATATGTTATAGGCTGATGAGTGAAAAACAACCCACTATGGGTAACTTCCTATTTTTCTGCTCTTTCCCCTTTTTATGCTGGACGTTCTGCCTTTTTATAAATCAAACACAACCTTTACATCTAGTTTAAGAACAGATTCAAACTTGAGAATTTCTGAGACTTCAGGAGCTGCAGGGTGATTCATGTATGACGGTTATATGGAAGTACCTTCAGAGAGGCTGTATGTCCAGCCCGGCAAGGCCAAGACGGTCCACTTTGATCAGGACAAAAGGGAAAGCGTTGTGGACATCTATGTCAGCTCAGAAAGCCTGAGAGTGTTTGACACCCCGTGGACAGAGGACATGTCTCCACACGCACCKGGACAAGCAGGAGCTCAACACATGGGTAATAACTAACCGCTGAGTTTAAAAAAATGTTATTTTATTGTTTAGTCTAAATAAGTGTTGAGATATTTGTACAGTAATATAGATCAGGTGTAAATAGTTTTGTTTTAAATTGATTTTAAAATGTTTGTTTAAGTGACTTTTGTGAATAAAACATCACTAAAGCRTCGTATCAGAAGTCCCTCTGTGTTTCTGGGTGTCCTGTGTTTTCTGCTAATAATTGGAATCATCAGTCTTTCAGTCAAAAGTAAGTSTTTTGTTTTGTCAAATTCACATGTCAACTGTTTATAAATATATTGGATTGTAATGGGTTTGATTATCATCTCTAACAGTGAAAAGTGATCAAATCCAATGGGACCAAGAGCGAACGAACTTATTAAACTGCACGAAACACACAAATCTCACATTAAATGAACACTTAACAAGCATTAACGCTGCACTCAAAGGTAAGTAAAGTTAATCTTTGTCCAATAAGATGTTTAATAATTCAGCTCTAATGCTTCATCATACAGGAGGTGTTCAGAAAACGAAATGCATAAATAAAATCTGTTGTTTTTTTTTCTCTGAGGTTTGTTTTAAATCAAATATAGGAAGTGTTATAAGAACATTGTTTCTGCATCAGCACCTGTACAGCAAAGAGAAGTGCAGCCTACTTCTTCTTTTTAAAAACAATTAAACAAAAATAAGTCTGTGACTTAGTCCATGTTGAAACGAATTGATTTCACTCACTGAAATTTTATAAAGATAAATTRTCTTTATCATTAACTCCTTTTTATTACTTAGCTCAACTGAAATTTCCTCCTGATTAAAATCATTCCACTAATGTTAATTTATTTAGCTCATTTTCTTTACATTTTGCAAATTCTTTCTTAAAAAAAACTTTTCTGTAAATGTTTTTTCTTAAATATTGTGTAAAATAAATATTGAAATCTAAATGTGAAAGAATTTATACATAACTGTATTAAGTTTTGATATACTGGTAAATTAAACAATTAATGAAAATGTTAAAGTAAGYTTAATATTGAAGATTTGTGACATTTTTGAACATTAAACATTTACTAATTGATTATTTCTCTATTTGAAACACAGAGGCTAATAAAAGATGCCAGAATTCGACTGGTAATAATAAAAACCAGCAGTGAAATGTTTGTGGCTGCTACAGAACGGTACGATGGGGGACAGGGTATTATATCATTTTGATTTGTTGAGTCAATTCAAAATCTATACTCAGTGCTTTTGTTTGTTTAATTAATTTTTTTTTCAGGTGTCATGGTGTTAGACGTCCTTTGCATCAACCAACCAAACATTTCATGTTTTGATCGGAAACAAAAAATAATGAAGCTTTAAAGGAATTTGAAAAGTCTGTTTCAGCATGTACTGTATTTGAAGTGTTTTTACATGTTTCATATTTTATTATTTGTTTTGCATTACCACTTTTTCCCCAAATAAATGTTACCACACACTCTTCCATTTTAAAGCTGATTTATCTGAATGTCACAGTGCCCATGTATGTTGAGTTGTTTTAGAGATTTTATCACAAATCTCAGCTTTTCCATTATTTATATGGTAGAGCTGCACAATATTGGAAAATCTTGCAATGTGCATTAAAGGGGCAATAATATATATATATATATATTACATTTTGTGTTTCATTTATCTTAGTTTATTTTAAAAGCCTGACACTTTTTGTTTAACAAATGTTTACGTCTGTCTGCCATTGTGAATATTGTGTTTGTGTCTTGTAAGCCTTTATGAGGCTGGGCACCTTTAGGTGTATGACATGAGAATAAAATTATCTGTATATGTAAGTTATTAGCAGCACCAACAATATTTAATGGATTTTTTTTTTTAGCTGAAAGTCAAGCAGCCACCACAGATCCTGGTGTGGATAAAAGATTTTTTTCCAATTAATTGGTACAGAGATCCCAGATATCTGTAAGGTCTCAGCATCCATACTTCTTTTCTTCCATCCATCCTTCCATCTGCCAATCCGTCTGTCATCAATCCATTTATCATTAATTAATTAGTCAGTCCATCATATAATGTATTCATCAATCTGAAAAGTTGTAAACATAACACTTTTTTAGATTTAAAAAATACTATACATTTACTTGAATTTCTTAGTTAACACTAACACACTTCCTGGTTCCCATTGGGAGCTATATCTTCCACTCCCACTCCACATGTGTTGTCCCAGTCCTCCATGCARCATAAGCAATATAGGCAGTAGGCACCATGACCTCCCCCGTGGCTCGGAAGAGACAAAACTGACCAAAAACATAAGTTTTTCTATTAATAGTTGTCAATCCAGACATAAAATAGTGCCAGAGTTGTCTGGCGCGCATTAGTACACATGTTATCCGTCCTTTGTGACCTCACTTCCGTTCTTTACGCTGAATATTTTTTTCAGCCGGCCGGCATTTTCTTTTCATTAACCGGGTACGGATTTCAGCCTTTACACGGTCCTTTTGGGTTTTCTTGACCGGTTTCACAAATTTTAGTGTTTTACAACAACCTCCACGATGCCTGGCTTTTCAGACAGAGACCGTGGGAGAGATAGAGGGTAAGTCCATTATTATCTGTCGGGTTTTTTTAAGCTAAATGACGTGTTTAGCTTCTGCTGTGAACGCAGTCACTACAGTGTACTAAAATGCATTAAAATAAAGTTTGAGTGGCATTAATTTTGTTGTCAGTAAGAAATATGCGTGTTATAAATTGCAGAAAGGTTAAAATATATTTTTACTAAGCTGTCGGCCTTCTAACATATTTAAAACCTTTTTTTTTTTTTTGTTTGTTTCCTAGACGGGAGATAAAATGGCAGCGGCTGAGCAGCTGACTCCGCAGATTGTTTATTTAATATATATTTGGCCTTGTGACGCAGTCCTGTTTAATTTTTCAGAAAATCTGTCTCTCGAGGCCATTTTTTTATTTGCAGTATTTTCTGTTAAATGTTGCTGCCTAATGCACGGAAACATACAGTAGATTAATAAAAATAATAATAATATGTTCCATGTCCAGCAGTCTAAAGTGGGTCAGGTCGGTTTACCTCTCCGGCTGTGTGTAATAACATCAGGTTTTGTGACCTAATTAGGATTCTTAGAGGTTGCTGCTTTGTTATTAATGTTTATGTAAATATCCTGATAGATATTTATAAACACGCTGTCGATAATGTAATTATTTATGTCAGTAATTTGAAAAAATAAAATAAAACGATATTTTGTCCATGTTTACATGGTGTTTTCCATGGTATATAACTGAGTTTGAAGCAAACGAGTTGTCTGAGGAATAAAAGAATACATCATCAAACTTGACCAAGGCCAAAGTGGAATTATTTGCTTCATAACATTTTTGTATGAATAAGGACTTAACTAAAGAGTGTGCAACATATGCATGATTTATAACTAGGAAAAAAGAAAGGGAAAAACAAAACCACCAGAATATTTATGATGATGTACAGATTGTGAAAATAACAGCAGGAGTGTAGCAACTTGTGCATTTGTTTGTATTAATGATAGTTGTAAATTTAACACTTCGGTTATTCTGGCAAAAAAAAAGAATCCTGCAGGATGTTCCTCAGGCTGCACTGAAAGTGCTGCGAATAAGTTACACGTAGTTTTAAAAAAACATGTAATTTGAAAGCGGCAGTGGTGTAAAGGTCCACATGTGAACTAGCTGATGTACATCAGGGAAAATATTAATTATTCATAATTTTTRCAGAAATAAGTTTCAGAATATCAGAACTCACTTCAAGTTCTTTAAGCAGCTGTGTTAACATAACGTGTAACCTGAACGTGAACTTTATTGTGAACCATTACAGCTTTTTTATCAAGGTCTTCTCCTTGTCTGCTTTGTTTTGTTTTCCTTTTTCTCCACATTAGGTATGGAGGCGGCCCTTCTCGTTTTGGTGGGGGCAACAGGGGAGGACCTCCTCCAGGAAAGTTTGGCAATCCTGGTGAAAGGCTGCGAAAGAGGCACTGGAACCTTGATGAGCTTCCAAAGTTTCAAAAGAACTTCTACCAGGAACACCCAGATGTCACACACAGACCTCTGGTAAGCCATGTTTGTACAGTAGCTTCAGCTTGGAAAAGTTATGTTTGTGTTGTAGAAGTAATATTTGCATCTAAGCTAAATTTATTTTATATAAATATGCTGTTAGGTGATTTATGTGTGATTTGACGGTGCTTTTTGGTTTTCTATAATTCCAGCAAGAGGTTGAGCAGTATCGCAGAAGCAAGGAGGTTACAGTCAAAGGCAGAGATTGCCCAAAACCAATACTAAGATTCAACGAAGCTGCATTCCCAAGTAAGTTCAAATACCTACTCCCAACACCAAATACTTCAACTATCAGTTTGTCGTGCTATCAAGGATAAGATTTAATGCCTTGTTCCCTTAGGCTACGTTATGGACGTCATTGTGAAACAGAACTGGACCGAACCAACTCCAATCCAGGCTCAAGGGTGGCCCGTCGCCCTGAGTGGAAAAGACTTGGTTGGCATCGCTCAGACTGGGTCTGGAAAAACCCTGGCAGTAAGTGCTCTCCATTTACCACTTTTAACTTCTTAAGGCMTTTTTTTCAACAGTCCACTTTGACATTTTTGTTTCATTTAATTTTTTTAATTTTGCCAATTTGGACAAAATAATCAGAAACAATATTAACTCTCTGAAAAGTTTTAAAAAATGCAAACTGCTGGTGTTTTGTAAATGCTTGCTGGAAAATACTGAGAGTGTTTATTATTAGTTAAGTCACAGGTCAAACTTAATTTTCTTTTTGCAGTACCTGCTGCCTGCAGTCGTTCATATCCAACATCAGCCTTTCTTGGAGCATGGAGACGGGCCCATTGTAAGGAATTTTAAATGTATTCATGTAGAGACTGTAATCTTGTTTTATTACAGGATAAAAATGGATAGTATATGTTCCAATAAATAGAGTTTATTGCACTAGTTCTTTAGCTTTATATGTTGAAGGACACAAGACAAAGAAATGTGAGTAAAGGGTGAAATTCAAATTTATTTATTTGTTTTTAAATAGTGCTTGGTGCTGGCACCAACACGCGAGTTGGCTCAGCAGGTGCAACAAGTGGCTGTTGAATACGGCCGGGCCTCTCGTCTCAAGAGCACTTGCATCTATGGTGGCGCACCCAAAGGACCGCAACTCAGGGACCTTGAACGAGGTAGGCCTGCTCTGGTGCTGTATTCATGTAAATTCACATGTTTACGACTTTCCGTTTTAGTCATTAAAATGATTTTGCTTCTTCTGTTCAGGTGTTGAGATCTGCATCGCTACCCCGGGTCGKCTTATTGATTTTCTGGAGTGTGGTAAAACAAACTTGCGTCGTTGCACCTATCTGGTGCTGGACGAAGCTGACCGCATGCTGGACATGGGTTTTGAACCTCAGATCCGCAAGATAGTGGATCAAATACGGGTAAGTTTGGTAACTGACTTCCACTTAAATTAAATTTGAGTGAGTAACTACTGTCCAGTGGTTCTACTAGGAAAGTATTTTTGCCCTGACTAAAAACATAAATGTGCCAAAAAGAGAAGATTTGGTTTCATATTCATTCACACTAACCAATCAAACTGCCACTACAATATTTAGTGAGTTGTGAATAAAGTTGACATTTTCATCTCTGTCTTTACTAGCCAGACCGTCAGACTCTGATGTGGAGCGCCACTTGGCCTAAAGAAGTTCGTCAGCTGGCTGAGGACTTCCTGAAGGACTACGTTCAGATCAACATTGGAGCCCTGCAGCTGAGCGCCAATCACAACATCCTGCAGATAGTTGATGTGTGCAATGACTTGGAGAAGGAGGATAAGTGAGTACATTACTTCAACAAATGTAGAAATAAAAAGATGGTATCTAAATTAGCATGTTGTTCAAGAGCACATTAAACATGTAACTATTTTTGGCCTGAAGTAAGTGTGTGAAGACACTTAATTTTTTCCTACTCTTTTAGACTGATTCGTTTACTGGAGGAGATAATGAGTGAGAAGGAGAATAAGACCATTATTTTTGTGGAGACCAAAAGGCGTTGTGATGAGCTCACTAGGAGGATGAGAAGAGATGGGTAAGAATTCCTTTTTTATTTTAGTTTGAACTGGAAATGTTTTTATAGCTAAATGTAGATTGATTCCTTCACACTGCCAGCCCAACAAGTTTCTGTATGTTTTTGTCCACCGTAGGTGGCCTGCAATGGGAATCCATGGAGACAAGAGCCAGCAAGAGAGGGACTGGGTTCTTAACGGTAAGACAGAAAAAAATTTATTTCACTTTGTTATGATTTTAAAGATACATTGGCTGGTCAGCATGTCGGTTAAAACTGATCCTTCTCTTTTCAGAGTTCAGATATGGCAAAGCTCCAATTCTCATTGCTACAGATGTGGCCTCCCGTGGTCTAGGTCAGTATGAAGTTCAGTAATGCCACCTAATTATCAGTGTATTCTTGTTTTAAAGAAAGTGTTTTGCTTTCTTTAACTCTTCTATGCATTTTCTGAGTTTTTCCTCACCTTAAGGTGGAGTCTTTGTGGCAGGCACTAGGCATGACAGTCCCAGGCCTCGAGAGGGAGAAGGAGGACATATTGGAAAGGCTCAACTGGCTTGCCACCCAGTGGGCCTAGAGAGGTGAAAGCTCTTGTGTGCCAGTGATCTTCAAAAGGCTTGTGTGGCTAAGCCTTTGTCTCTATGTTGTCGAATTACACATACACCTGTTCTCTGTCCATGGATTTCACCTGATAAATGCCCATCCAGCTGTTTTTCCAACTCAAACACAAAGAGAAGCTCGATGATGTGACTTTAGCCTTGCATGCTGTCGTGTTAGATGTTACAGTATTGCAAGTCACCTGTTTGAGATTTGGAACAAATGTTATCTTTCGGAGCTTGTTTCACATAGCATGGGTGTCAAAGCTTGCAGCTGATTTCTTTTTTCGTCAAAGTGCTGGATTTTTGGAAATGGAGAGAGCAGTTTTTAAAACGTTTTGTCTCTGAAAATTGATGAGACCTGGCACATGTGTTCAGGGGGTAGTGGGAACGTCTAGTGAGAGGAGAATGAGAAAGCTCAAACCATAGTTCCTCCCTCGCCTGTGTTTTATAGTCATGTCGAGACCTGCCAACGAGTGACATTTTCTCAAGTGAACACTGGCTTCTTGGAAGATCTTGCCTTGATGAAACTGATGTAGAGGCTTAGTGGGGGGGGGTAGTGTGTTGGGCAACAGTTTGTGCTCGTTGGGGAGTTCCTCAAGGCTCATTCTATGGACCTTTTTCGTTTTTGCTCGAATGGGTCCCTGTTTAAATTAGCAATTTGTCTTTTTTGTCTTGGCAAGACATGCAGTGCGGCCTTTAACATTAGGCTTTTTTTGAGAGTGTACTGGGAAAACCCTGGACCTGGAAAAATGTACCGCTCAATGGTCCTATATTGGCATGAGGAGGCCCCAGTGCATATCGTGGCCCAACTGCGTAGAAGCTCCTGGATGTCACTTGACAATTTGTGGGGGATTTCGCTGCCTTGGGAAAGGACTAGTGAATGCATACTCCTTTTTATGGTAAGACTGAAATTCATTTTTTTTCTCCCTTGGTAACAAAAGGGAGAATAATGTTTCTGGATCTTTTTAGATTATGGTAAGCAATTGGAGTGTGCATCGTTTCTCTCTTCCCACAGTAGTATTCCCATGGAGTAGATGTGCTCACTCTCTGATGATGTTAACCTTTTCTTCCACAGCCTAATAACCACCATATTTTCCCCCCAGCGTTCACAGTTGCTAACTTTTCTCTTTGATCTGGCTGTTGTGGTGTGCAAAAATCCGTGTGGCCTCCATGTTTTGTTTTGCCACACTGCAACGCTTTCACAGATGTGGAGGATGTGAAATTTGTCATCAATTATGACTACCCTAACTCCTCCGAGGATTATATCCACCGCATTGGACGCACAGCCCGAAGTCAAAAAACGGGCACAGCCTACACTTTCTTCACCCCCAACAACTTGAAACAAGCAGGCGACCTGATCTCTGTGCTCCGCGAGGCCAACCAGGCCATCAACCCCAAGCTGATCCAGATGGCAGAGGACAGAGGAGGTGAGATGCTGGACAAAAAACGTGGAGAGCTTTTTGCAAGATATTGTTTCTACATTTTCATAAAACCCAACCTTTTTTTTATTTATTTAATCTTTATTCATTTCTTTAAAACAAATCAATCTGCACAAATATGAAAAAGAAAAAAAACACAAATACAATGAACTAAAAGGAAGCAGAGTAGAAAAAATCTTACATCTGCCCCTTTTTTCAAGTATAATCTCAAACAATACTAATCTTCAGTTAACAAAAAACAAACGTCAAATCCTTCTAGAACACCAATGTACATGAATACATATTATACTGTTTCATATTTCTTCAAAATGTACATTGATCTAGCATTTTTAACATCCTCTTCCAGTTTATTCCACAATCTGACTCCTTGGATTGAGGTGCACCGTTCTTTCAGACAGGTTCTAAATTTAGGTTTTATTAACATCTCTATTCCCTTTAGGTTATAACAGCTCTCTCTCTCTTAATACAGTTTATCTGAATTTTTAAAGTTAATGTGTTTTGGTGAGACTTATACATAAATAACAAAATGTTGTAATCAACCAAAGAATTTCAATCATTTCAATTTACAAAATAATAGATGGATAATGATAGTGTTTTTGAGTGATAACTTATCGCTCTTTTCTGCAAAACAAAAACAGGATGTATAATTGTCTTACATGCTTTCCCCCATACCTCAACACAATTGACAAAGTGTGGAAAAATTAATGCATTGTGTAACATATACAGAGCTTTATCATTAAACAAATCCCTTACTTTGTAAAGCAATGCAATAGATTTAGCTGTTTTATTCTTAAATAATTTACATGAGATTTCCATGTCACTTACTCATCAGTAATAACACTGAAAAACTTACCTCATAATCTCTACACCATCAACTCTTAAGCAATATTAACAGTTCTTTGTCTATTTGTAAATATCTTATTAGTTTTGTCCAAATTTAATGATAATTTATTAAGTGAACTATGAAACTTGTCTGAACCCTCTCCTCTCCTGTGTCCCTTGTCTGCTGCAGGTCGTGGTCGAGGGGGAAGAGGTGGCTACAAGGACGACCGTCGCGATAGGTATTCTGGGGGTGGGAGAAGTAATTTTGGTGGTAGCGGCTATAGAGACAGGGACAGTGATAGAGGTTTTGGTGGAGGGCCGAAGACTGCCTTTGGTGGCAGCAAGGCCCAGAACAGCAACATTTATGGGGGAAATGGCGGCAACTCTAGTGGTAGCTTTGGCAATAACAATTACAACAGCAGCAACGGACAGGGTAATTTCAGTGGTCCACCAAACCAGGGTGGCTTTGGGAACCAAGGTTTCCAAGCCCCACCTCAGTTTGGTGGCATGCAGAGGGCTGCTCAGAACGGCGTGAATCACTCGCCGTTCCCATTCAACTCTCAGCCCCCGCCACCACAGAACCAACAGCCACCACCCCCACCGCCGATGGTGCCCTATCCCATGCCTCCACCTTTCCCACAGTAGATATGAGATGTGCACAGTAAACGGAACCAACATGACCTTTGTTCAGTCTTGAAAACTTACGGTATGGTTATCTCGTTCTTTTCCTTTTGTACTGTTTAACTTTTGTTTTGCTTACAGCAGGGTTGGAATTACTCAGTAAACCCAGAGCATTAAACAGAGTCGTAGTCACGTCTCCCACAGTGCAAACTATGATTGCTGCACTTTTCTTTGATTGTTGTTTTTGTTACATTCCTCAGTAATTTATTTTTAATACGTAATCCTGTGTTTTCAGTTTGTGGTATGTTTAAAGTGATGGTATGGAAATATGTATAAAACAGGGTTTCTGTGACCCGTTTCAAATAAAAAGAAGAACATGCACACTTTGTCCCGTGTTGTTTGTGTGGGTAGTTTGAGGCACTCCGTCCTCTAAATATTTGTGTACAGATTCTCATTTATATGCAGTAAAGAAAAGTAAATAATTGAACGTTAGAAGCAGAGCACAAATCAGTAAAGACATCACAAAACTTGCTTTAAAGCCTAAACTTAACTAAATAATGAAACTTTAACAAACTGATACAAACAGTTTTCATATGGATTTATTGAAGGTCATGCTTGAGGACCTTAATAAATGAGRAAAAGCCTTAAACTAGACTGAAACTTGTGCTATATATTTGCAGAAATAAGTGATAATGTGTGTGTARTAATTGAATAGCATGAGCTTACTAGAATAAAACTGTCATAACTATAAATTACTGTTGTAAAAACAATATAATTGTGTAATTYACAGGAAAACTTGCACATAAAGGTATAAGACAGAAGTCATGTTATAAAATTAATATTTTTTATCAAGTTGATAAAATTAAAAGGAAAAAGTGCAACTAGTTGAAAATAAGTAGGAAACATTAATACTATGCACTGAAGAGAATTGTTCAAAAATACTGACGTATATAATTCTTTAAAAAAAAAATAATCCAAAAAGTTTAGTGTTTTACAAATTAAATTTAAAATTTGTAAATTAGATCTTTAGAAATAATCTGAAGAAAAAATACCTTCAAATTTCAAATTGCATTTTGTTGAACGTTTTGTTGCATAAAAAGCCTCATGTTGATCATTTGATTCATAAAAACTAAATTTCACACAGCGGATGTTTAACCCGGAAGTAAATTATTTATTTCCGGTATTCACGCGCTACATCCATCTTTACACACGGTAATGTAAGTTTTGAGTTTTTACCCGGTAAATTTCGAACATGACTTGTGTTACAGCATTGAGGACACTTCTAAAACCACCAGATATTAGCGGTATAACTTCACACAGTTTTTGTTTTTATACGGTGTTTTTGACAAGAGACGTTCAATGACATTACTTTAACCCGGAAGTGATGGTTCCTGACTTAAGGGTACAGAGTTTGACTTTATACATGTTGACCCGGTGTGTCAGACGGGTTCTGTTGAAGCCTAGTTTATCCACAATGAGAAGCACACAGTGTTCCAGAGGACGGTGCAGTCCAGCACCCCCTGAGGGTTCGGAYCGTGTTCGGACGCTTCTGCAGCTCTGCACGGACAGATACTTCATTTCCCCCGGGGAGACCAACGTGGAGCTGTTCCGGCGTGGCTTCAGTTGCTCTTACGGACCTCTGGGCGTGGAGCTGAGGAGAAACCTGCTGGAGCAGTGGTGGCACTCTGTCACTGGGTCCACAGCTCAGGTTTGGGGGGTAAAGACTCTGAGCAGCAGCCGGGAGGAGCGGGCAGCTTGTGGACCTCGACTTGTTGAAACTGAACATTTCCAACAAATGAGCAGAGATCAGCTGGTCCAGGAGCTGCAGAGATCACAGCGTGTCAGAACAAACTTGCTTCAAGGTAACCAGTGTTTCCCACCCATTATAAATAAACAGGGTTAGTCTCAACAACAGTATGGTTTCACCTTGTTTGTTTTCAGGTGCTCTGGAACAGTTTGTCCCCTCCTTGGAGCTGGTGAACAGAAAGTTACCATTTGGCCTGGCTGAGACGGGTCTGTGTTTCCAGCCGACTGATCGCTCTGGTTGGTGAGGCTTCGATTGTTGTCTGTAGCTTTTACCGAATGTTCATGAGTACAAGATGAATGTAAAAACACACACACATCGCCCCACCAGCTTGCATGTCAAACTTTTAAAATTCAATTCAAGTTAGTTTATTTATATGGCGCCAAGACAACAAACATCACATCAGGGCACTGTGCACAAAAATCAATCTAAAGAAGCCAGCAGATTGTGTTGAATCACTTCATCACAGTGTCACATTCTGAGCAGCACACTGGTGACAGTGGAGAGGAAAAACTCCCTTTTCACAGGAAGAAACCTCCAGCAGAACCAGAACCAGGCTCGGGACAGGCGGCCATCTGCCTCAACCGGCTGGGTTTGGTGGACAGGAARGAGACACAAACACAGAAGKGGTCCAGGTGCATTTTCTTCTGGAAGAGAGACAAAGAAAACACATTATTTATAGAAGTTATTACAACTAACATGTAGAGGAGAGAGACTAAAGACAACAGCAGAGTGAGGAAATGTGCTCAGTTTGTGCTCCAGCAGTCTAAGTCTATAGCAGCAGAAATGAAGAATAATTCAGGAAACCTAAGTCGAACTATAGGATTAATCAAAAAGGAAAGTCTTCAGTCTAATCTTAAAAGTAGACAGAGTGTCAGCCTCACGGACAGAAACTGGAAGTTGGTTCCACAAGAGAGGAGCTTCATAACTGAAAGCTCTGCCTAGAGGAAATACTTCTTTGCACTGCCAAAAAAATGTCCATCTAACCAAGTTTTAAAATCTTATATCCAGTCAAAAAATATTTTTGATCTTGTTTTGAGACTGATTTACTAAACAAGAACTGATTGTGTAAGAATAATAATCCTGTTCTCAGAATGTGTAAGATTATTTGTCTCGTTAGTCTGAAAATTTAACTCAAATTAAGTCAAAAATTTCTGCCAATGACGTAAGAAATTTTTACTTAATAAGAATCTTCAAATACTTGATTTGACTCAATTTTTCTTATTACAAGAATCTTACCAAGTAAAA